TCTTCCGGTCAGGTCTGTTCACCCGGCCCCAGGCTCAGCAAATGAAGCATTTCCTCCAGAGAGGGCAGAAGGTGGGAGAGTTGCCAATCCTGAAAAGTGGACAGCCACCTTCCCTCTCCCAGCTGTTTCCTCTGTCCTCAACTGAGGGTGGCGAACCGCACCGGAGCACCCCAAGTTCTCCCGTGAGCACCTGCCAGGCATCAGCACTCAGGCTTGGCAGCCCGACCGCCTGGGCTTGCTCCTTGCTCTGCTCCTCCCTAGCTATGCGACTTTCAGCAACTTATTTGCCCTCTGCGCCTCATCCTTAACAAAGGAATGTTAGCAGGATTTACCTGCAAGGGTTGTTGCCAGGGTATGAGGCATTAACTCTCTGTAAAGGGGTTAGCGCATAGCCTGCAGCGCAGTTGGCACTATGTAATAGCTGTTGCTATTATCTTACACTTAAAGGAGGGAGACAAATAACTCATCCCCTCTGGGCCCCAGGAGTCTAATTTTCAGGGGTCCATCCCAAGCCCAGAGTGTACCTGATGTCTTCTCTTTCCTTAGAAATTCCATCCCGACTTACCACACTCCTCACTGGTTAGTATGGCAGAGTATTTTAAACACTTCCCACTGGAGACAGATGCTCCAGATGGATGCCTTGGCCCCGGGGTACAGTAGTGTGGCCACGTGTCTGCTCGTGAAGGAAGGACCTGGATGGCTCCTTCCGACTCCCTCATCTTGGTAGTTCTGAAAATCGGTACCACCAGGCTTCTGCAGCCACTTGGACCCAGGCTGAAGTGGCTGCCAACCCAGCAGCCACCAGCCTGGCTCAGAGATGCCAGGCTGAGTCGCAGCCTGAGCGTGGTGAGCTTTTGCCTGAAGGCAGAGGCGGAAGCCTGGGCAGGAGGTTCTAACACGACACCACTCATCGGTGCTGCGGTGCTGAGGGCTGGACCTTCTGTTCCCGGGGGATAAACAGAAGAGCAAGGGGAGGAAAGGAGAAGGGGGAGGAATTCCTGACATGCTCCATGGGGGGACAGTGCCTGCGGGATTTATTTATTGTTGGAATGTTGAAAAAGGAAGATGCGAATAAAGTCACTGTCCCTGGTGTCCTCCTGGTCTGTGTGGGAACTCAAGGGCCCCACCTCCAACTCCATTTAAACCACCCAAGCAGTGCCTTTCTCCCATAACAAAGATTTAAACATGCAGAGCTCTCTAACATATTTTCAAGAAGAAAAAATGACGGAAACTAACAGTACGTACTCTTACAAGCAGTGAGCCAAAAGCAAACTTCAAAGTTGCATGCAATCTAAAATCAGAACCATATTTTAAAATCATATACATAGGACAAAAGACTGGAGGGAAACATCAAAATGCTAATTGCATTGACATTATGAATAATTTTTTTCTCTTGCTTTTCCCAATTTTCAAAATGGCAAAAAAAAAAAAAATCATAAGAAAAGTTCCCTCAAAAGAATTTTTCTATAAACTGAGTTTATCGGTACTTTTTAGGTACACAGTACAGTTACATTCATCATTGGGATCTTGTACTTTTACCTGACAGGTCTCGATTCTTCCTCGAAAGGATTTTTAAACAAGCAGAAGACTCTCTTCGACATTTGCAAATCCCTTTCACATTTGTTATCTCATCTGATTCTTGAAGCAACCCTTTAGGGGGATTGATGTTACACAATTCCATTCTGTTACGCACAAAACTACCGACAATATGTTTAGGGCCTGTCCTGTCAATCCTCGGGCCAGAGGTCCACCTGTGGGTGGTTCATGGTCTGCAGAGTCCTTGCCAAAGCCCTGGCTTCTGGCATGTCACCTCAGATTCCCAGGGCTCCAGGATCTACTCCCTGGTGGGAATAGCTGCTACCCGGATGTGGCCTTGGGGGACCAGGGGGTGTCTATGGCTGTTGATGATAGACAACATGAGATGTCCCCAAAGACGCAGTCCTTACCTGGGGTTACTCTGCCATCTCCTCCCTTACAAGACACCAAGTCCATGTGGGTAGAAATTCTTGGACTTGCTGAGAGAAAGGGAGGGAGAGAGAGGACAGGTTGTGTTTGAGAATCAAGTCTAACAGCATTTCTTGTCTCGTTTTTTGGAGAAGAGCGGCTTCAGAAACAGGTCTGTCCTTGCACCATTCCAAGTCTCTCCTCCAACACTTTGTCTCTCCTTGACTCTCAGAAGTCACCAGAGCTCCCAAAAGGGTCTCTCAAGCCCTGAGAGCGAGAGCGTCGCCCCAAGACCCTCATGTCAGAAAAGGTGAGAGAGTTAGAAAGAAGGTGTGCTTTGCTACAGAAAGCCTAAGCCAGAACCAGACCAGAACTCAGACCTGCTGTCCTAGGCATGGGGGGCTTTGCGAGGCCATCCTCCCAGAATAGTGGGGTTGCTGTGAGCAAAGGGCAGGACCACCATCACTGTCTTCCCTTGGGGCCTCATGCCTACTCCCTGGTGACTGTCACTCCTTTTATTTCTTGACTTCTCCTATAACTGCCTACCACTGATGAGGGGGACAGAGTCAGCCCTGGAGGAGATTTTGGGACACCCCCGGAAGCCCTCCCTTATTCGTAATTAACACCACTGCTGTGGACTTACTGCGTGCCCCACCCTAAGGAGTCCCACGTGCGAGGTGCCATGATCAGTGCCACGCTTTAGCTGAGGCCACTGAAGCCCCACAGTGTCATGACTTCACCTAAGGGGCAGCTGCTGAGCGCTGAGCCAGAACCAAAGCCCTTCCACACTTTGTGCCCACTGTGGATGCTTTTTTGGAGACTCTTAAGTTAGTAGTCCCCACATTCCAACAGACTTTGTAGAAAACATGGACTTTGAATAGTAGGAGAGGGAAGAAATCCACCTCACCCTCTTCGGAGGTGGAAGAATGGTTTGAGCCAGGCGGACAGGGTTGCTGGTACCCGGGTATTTCCCTGGTTGATTTGAACTCGGGTTTAACTCGTGTTTCTAGAGCTCTGTGAGCATCGACAGCCTAGGATTTGGGACAATGGGGCAACGGGGGAGGCGAATGTGAGAAAGGACTGCACTGAACTAGGAAACTGCTAAAATCTTGAATATCTTGTGAAATTTCTTTTCTTACTTTTTTCCTTTTGGCTCTTCACAATGTTTTTATGTTTGGATTCGGTTGCCACGAGTGGACTGATTTTAGCTGCCTAGTTCCTTCCCTCCCCTTTGGATTTCTTTCCTTCCTTCTGCACATGCCACTGCACGAAGGCTCCAGTTCTTATCTCAGCAAAACATTCCGAGGCTGGTCTGGCGGTGGATTCCCCAAGCGGTTCTCCAGTGTAAAACCTCAGCCTAGACAAGGCTCTGTTTAACCTGCCTCCTAGAATAACCGGAACCAGCTCTTCCTCCTGAGGCGGGAGAGGCACTCTTGCCTTTGTGCAGAGAAGTGTCTGTGCTGTAGAGCGCTTTTCTGGCCCCTTTTCCTCAACTGACAGTGTGCCCGCGGGGTGTCAGTGGCATTGTCAGGACACCCAGGACGTCTTCCCAAGGCATGGACGTGGGGGCCCTTCCTCTCTGTGTCTCTCTAGTTCACAGGCGTTCTGCGGCTCTCCTGGGGGCTTGGGGAGGGCGGCTGGAGTAGGTCTTGTTTTCCTCGGGTGTTTCTTTCAGGTCGGGGGTGAGCACACTTCGTCCTCAAGATTCTTAGGGCTTCCAGGGTTTCAACGGGTAATCAGGCACAGAATGCTAAACTCAGACTTCTCTAAGCAAACAGCCAGCATTTCGATCCGGGTGCCACGTGTGGAATCAAAACTAAGAATTATTAGAACGAAACAAGAGTAATAAGAACTGGAAATAAGAAGCTGGTAAAAATGAGCCAACCACGTGCCGTGGGCTTCTGTCTCCAGTACCTCTCTCTGACTTGGGTTTGTGGAGCTGATGTTGCTGTTTGTTTACCCAACGCCCTAAAGCGAATTATCCCAGAGGGTCAGGATCAAAACTCCACAGATCTGACATGAGTGTATTCATGGAATCACAGCTTATCCCATAAAACTGGTGAAAGATTTCTGCAGACTGCTCACGGGGGTACTGAAAATCTTCTCGGCTACTTTATCATGGTGCTGTTTATTCCACATGACTTTCACTGAAATGTAAAACTCTCCCCTCCGAGCTCCTTGGCATTCTGGGGCTGTGCAGACTCGCCCGGGATTTACCTGCCCGCCCCGCGGCCCCAGGGCGGGGCATAGAGGTGTCGGGCCGAATGTGGGCGTGGGACACGGAGGTGGGACCAGGACAGCCGTTACCAGGGCGACAAGCAAAGCAAAACACACTTCCCACGCTTCCCGCTTCCCGCACATCGCCGCTGGAAATCAAAGCTAGATCAGGGCAGGATCTCTGGGGATCTCTGGGTGGAACCACCCCAGGGTTCCCCGGCTGCCCCGTGGCGGTGAGACGCCAGGGCCTCCCCCTGGATCTTCTGGGTCCTGAGGCTGTAGAGGAAGTGGGGGCGGGGAACGCCAGACGCGGCTCCGACCTGGGGGCCTGGAACCCCGGTGCGGAGAACTTGATTTTACTACCAGCTCACAGAATGGGTGTCTGTCTAAAGAGACGCTGATTCCCAGGGTGTGTGTGTGTGTGTTTCGGATGCCAGGTGAGACACGGGTCCGAGACACCTCTAGTTCCCACCCAAACTAACAAACTATGACCTTTGATCCTCTCCCTTCAAGTGGCAGGTAGAAGCAGGTGTCTCCGCCCTTGGCCCTGCTCTACAGCACGCGGGCGCGGGCAGGTGCGAAAGTCCCCGGGCCACATGCCTCCTTATCCAAACGTCCGTGGGCTGTTGGAAAGGACCCTGATTCTACCGTTTTTAGAGCACAGTTGAAACCAAGGAATCTGAACCAGAAAAAAACCAAACCAAAACAAAACAAAACCCTGTAAAGTTTCAAACCCAGTTCCACTGAGGCCTCAGTGGGAAACTTAGAACCCGCCTTTTCCCTCCCCCGAGTTTGAGGGCACGGGGAATTTCAGCCGAGGGGCTCCGTCCTGGCTGGGATCCGTGCATATCCATCCAGTCCGGGTGGTCGTCTGGTCCCAGTCAATCCTCTCGGGGTGCAGAAGGACGAAGGTGAGTTTTCCGTAAACCTTGCCGGAGAACCGGGAGACCCCTACCCTTGTTGCTGCCAGTGGAGACCAAAGCACTTTTTCCTACACTTGAGCCCCTTCCTAGCCCCGCCTGGTCGCCTCCTGATTTCTCCAGGCCTCTCCTTTCCACGTTTTTGTTGCTTTCTATGAAAATCTCATCAATTTCAAGTGCTTGGTGTTTGTTTTGAAACACAAAAACAATCACAGGCAGCCGGACACGGTTCCCGGCCGCGGGTTCCCAGCTTGAACGCTGGGCGAGTGCGCTGCGCTCTGCGCTCTGCGACCGCACTGTCTGGCCAGCTCCCGGGGGGGGAAAGGTGTGGATTCTCGGCAGGACGATTTGGGGCACCTCGCGCCCGCCCTAGAGACTAATGCTTCGACCCCTGCCTAACCCGGGGCTGGAGAAAGAGGTGGCTGGTGCGTGCGGGGTAGGGGTCGGGGGACGTTTTCCTGAAGCGCCAGAAAATGACCACGCATTTTGGAGAAAGGTCGTGCCCACTTCCCAGCCTCACCTAGTCTGGGTCGCGGCCAGGACCCGGCCCCCCCACCTAGCGGAGGGAGAGATGCCAGGGCGGTGGAGTCATGCCGCTGGCTTGGGCACCATTGGCTCATGCCTGGAACACGCAGCGGCCAGTACGCACGTCTGGCGG